GTTCATTACCATGTCATTCTGGTCAAAGAAACAATATTCTGTCCAAATCTAGGGACTTAATTGTTCTGAGCAAATTTGATCAAACATGGACCAGTCTTTTACCGGGGTCATATCACAGAAGGAAGCACTCTCTGGCAGGGCAGGTGACCTCCTCCACCCTGTGACTGGACAGTTAAAGGAGTAACAGCAAACACATGAGTTTGTATGTGCTCCCTAGTTGCAACACATGGCCAAACCCTTCAGCTAGTGGGCTAAAGAAATACAGGGCTATCCAGGGGCCAACTTCTCTCTACTGTAACCATCCCAAGCCTACACAGACCTTCAGGTCTGCCACATACATGTCTAAGACCTGCACTTTAGGGGTTCTAAACCACTGCCAGGAGAGTAAACCTCTCAGCTAGCCACCACCAGCTCCTAGGTTCATTGGGTTTGCTCATCATACTTAAAATGTGTCTTCAGCTCTTAACACTTCCAATACATTCCCCTGGTATCAGCTCTGCACAATAAATTACATTTTCTGTCCTGCACATTACTTATTACTCGCCATTAACTCGGTTGTGCATCCCATCTCCCAAAGGCTCATAACCTGCATTCGTCGAAGGAGATGTTGTTTAGCTTGCTCTGCATCTCATGATCCTGCCATACACTTCTCCAGATGCTTGGACAAACTGAGCCTCCCTATAGGGGAGTGAAACCTGCTCAGAGGGCTTCATGCTGACGTCTTATTTCTAGGGAGCAAAAAAAAACCCTCACTGCCATATGGTATTAGCTCCCAGTTACATGTTGGCTGCTTTCCCACTTACCAATCAAGAATGTTGAGCACGAATATTATATTACATAAAAAATTAATAAAATAAATGATAATAAAAAAAATTATATATATATATATATATATATATATATATATATATATGTATATATATATATATATATATATATATATATATCTATCAAAATAGCCACCCAATTCTTGTTAGATTTTGGTGCCAATCACAGGTATTTGCTTCTCCAAGATGGCTGACTGGAGCCCATATTAGGAGACAACTTAGTCCCAGGTGAGTACCTGTCAGCCTGAGGAAGCAACTCTCTTCAGGTTAGAGGACATACTGCAGTATTACCGCTGCCTCAACCTTCTTAACACTCTGCTCTTGCCTCCTATCAGTATGCTCCTTGAAATACAGTACAGTTTTTATTGGCTCCTTGTGCTTCTTATCCCTTCGCAGCCTGAGCTTTCCTGTACAGGGACTGCAAAAGACTGATGTCAGGTCAAACTGAGTTAGGGCTGGTTCCCATCAGGAATCACCAGGAGTCACATACAGTTCTGAGTGGTGTGATATCAGCCCATTTATGTTGAATCAGCTGAAATTGCACTGCATGCACTGCTTTTGGAAAGTCATCTCAACCAGATCACATGGTACAGGAGTACCATGCGATCCGGATGAGGTGACTTGAGGACACCTCAACTGGAGGTGACTTGAGGGCAAAGGGACTGCATTTGTGACCTGGGTTTGGGGTATCATTAACACACCCGCTGCAGATCGCAACTGCAGTACGTTTTGAACACGGTGTGGGAAACACACACAGAATGCAGGTTTCAAACACCGCTTTCTGGTGTGAACTAGCCCTTACCTACACTTAAACATGCATTTATATAATACATAAATATATTTAGTTTTAATTAGATTGTTGGAAAAAAAAAAACAATGTTCTTTTTAGCAGCCAATCAGTTTGGAAACAGCTATAGAATGAACACAAGAATGGATTGCTATGGCCCAGTACACAGAGATGTTATTATAGACATTATAAAAAAGAATAAATTCATGTGTAATGTGTTGCATTACACAGATTCATTATGTCTTGGAGCAGAATATAGTAAGCCGAGTAATATTTCCCTGCCCTGGGTACTCCCTAATCCATTGACACAGATGGATTAGTTCATTATCTACTATGCAGTTCTCTGTGGATGAGAATCTGAAAAGAAGAGGCTTGTCAGCAATGTGAACATCTTTACTGTAAGTAAGCACACTAGGCAGGAGTCATTAGTCATTACAGCACCGGTCAGCCTTTAGCACATCACCAGTCATGCCATATAATTTGTGATCTTAAAATAAACTGAATTTCTAAAAAAATGCATCAGTATGAAATCACCATTCTTGGGCACAATTACACTCTTTATAAAGTCTTTTATTCAGTGTAATCATGAAGACAAGGAATCGGAATGTGAACGCAATGCACTGGGGTGATAGGTTTCTGACTGTAGATATACAAAATGATCACATTGGGTGCCAATTCATTTCATTAATATACATTTAATCTCTTTTCTTATAAATTCATTTCAAACACACAACCCATGTAAGGCCACATTCACCTATTTTTTTTAATGCATATACATATTTTTAATAATTATTAGTTATGGGAAGACAGACCCTTTATTTTTTCTTTCTACTGCTTGTTTGCCATCTCAGATTATTGCATAATTTACTGAAGCACAAAATATATTACCAAAATTCACATTGACGTACTAAAGAGGCCCGTTCCCCAAGCCTTGTCCATTCCAGTGACCACTCCCATCGTGGTAGTGGGACAGTCCTGAGTTTGGGGAGTGTGTTGCAAGTATGCAGTTAGGATATGTTAATTCAACCTCATAGGTAAAGGCAATGAGCTACTAATGCTATCCAGCAAACACTGGAACTATGCTAAAATCAGAGGATCAACACAGTCACAGGGGCGGACTGAGAACTCATGGGGCCCCCTGGCAATAGGGGATCATGGGGCCGTGTCCTCGCGCACACTCAAACCACACCCAGAAAAGCCTATGACAGGTACTAGGGGCATCTCATAGGGCCCCCTACTGACTCTGGGCCCTCGAGCAGTGCCCGAGTGCCCGAATGGTCAGTCCGCCCCTGCACAGTCACATTTATTTCTAGTGATCTGTGACCCACTGTAACACAAATTCAGACAGCACCTCACAGGGTCACTAGGAAGGTCGATCCTGAAACCTGTGCTATGTAACCTCCTCTTTGTGCTCCCCCCCTGTATGACAGGTCACATTCGACCCTCTAGAGCAGGTTTGAATCTGATTGGTGGTTGAGAGAATCTTGTCACTGCTGACTGGTCTTCTGCATATAAGGGGCAGCAAGCAGACAACAGTGGGTGTGTTTTAGAATAACTTTCCTACATCACAAGCAGGGTTCTCAGATCAACAGATTGCCGATAGTAAAAATCTTGAGGAGCAGTGAACTGGCAGACTTCCTGTTTGCTTTTCAAGACTTCATTTTCAATTCTACTTTTGGCAATGTATTTAATATAATATTAATCATAGCTGGATAAAACGGATAGTTGTACTTGATAACCAATCAGAAATATGTTCCTGTGAATCTAGCTTCTAAAACAGACATGTGAGTTTACATATATGTGTATGTAGACTCTCAAACACAAATCCTTTGAAGCCATCTACCTACACATTCCATAACCAAATTTTACATTTACATTTACAAATTTATGATAATGACCATGTGCATACATGAGCAACCTCACCTATTTCAGTGTACAGCCAAGAAACGTTTTACTCATTACTATCACTTATTACTATGAAGAGTCTCACTTCTGATGCTAAAGTATTCCACACTGAGTGGAGGTGCATTACAATCTATTTGATACATTTACTGAGACTTTTTTTCATGGTCAGTGTGGTGGGAGTTTCTTTTGTGGAAGCACTGCATTTTTTAAATTATTATTACTATTATTTTATTATTATTATTATTATTATACAGGATTAATATACTTCTGACAAAATTTGATGAGTCACAGTCTAGAATGATTTTTTGCTAGTGTTATTATATTATTATTATTATTATTATTATTATTAATAATAATAAAAATAATAATACAACCGGATTTACTGTATATTCCTAATACATGTGATCCAGGATAGTCTTTTTGTAAAGTGTTTGTTATTTTGTGTTTCCCACTAAAAACATTATTATTATTATTATTATTATTATTATTAATATCATACAGGATTTATATACTTGTGACATTATTTGACAGGTCGTGTAATCCAGGATGATATTTTGTAAAGTGTTTGTGATTTTGTTTTTCTTACTAAAACATTATTATTATTATTGTTATGCAGGGTTTTTTTAATACTTATTACATTGTTTGATGGGTCATTTAGGGCCGATTCACACCACATCTAGTTCAGTATGCATCAAAAACGTATGGATTGTAGGTTATATGGTTTCCAATGGCATAGTTCACACCAGTGCAGTCAAATATAATGTGTTCCAGTTCCGGAACAAGAAGTACAGCGTGCTGCATTTTTTCTGCACTGAACAGTACTGTAACGCAATAAAACGCACCAGAATGCACCTAAACGCACCAGACTGCACAAATCCTTGTTTAAATGAAGAAAAAAAAGGAGAGAAAAATTGCACCAGAATGCATCAAAAACACGTCAAAAATGTGCATTCAGAAACGTATCCGGAACCCATCCAGACTGCGTTTCGATGGTGTGAACCAGCCCTTACAGAAATGCGTTGCGTTTATTCTTTCATGTTTCTATAAAAACATAGTTGATAACAATCAAATAATATTTCATTTTTAATAAACAGATTTTTTTGCCCCTCAGTGCCCTTATGTCCTATACACACCGTATTACACCATAGTCAGGACTGCACCTAGCTCTTTCCTTGTACATTGTATTGTCCCCTGGCATGCTTGCACACAAGCAACAGTGGATTGTGTGCCTCTGGGATATTCTACTATTACTAGAGGTTTTTACAATTGGTGGATTTTTAGACAAAATCTCAACATTTTGCAGTTAAGGATCTACAGCATACAAAAAGCCACATTATTCTAAAGTGAATGCTAACCTTATCATTTGGTGTCAATCATTCTTGTTAGACGAGAATCTAACAACAGCTGTGTGATTGCAAGCTCTGCAGGTCAGGGAAAAAAAAAAAGAAAAGAAAAACCCCGCAGGTGTCCCCAGGACTCACCGAGGCATCTTCGCCGGCAAAGTGGCTGATAACTCTCAGGCCCCCGGGGTGCCGCTTCACCCAGTCACTGATGTTGTAGACTTTGCGGTCTATCACCAGCCACTTATCAGTCCTCGTGTTGTGTTTCTGGATTTCTTCCCAACTGTAGTGAGGATCCGACTTGACGCAGCCAGAACTGCACCCCTCTCCATTCTGGCCCCCCTTGCCCATGGTAGCTCCGCTCTAGGGGGGGGCACTTGGTGCCAGCTTCCCTGTCCACCTCCTCTTCGCTCTGCCAGGAAATAAAAGCAAGATTGTCATTTATACTTCATATGCTCACAGTTTCTGTATTGTACCTACGCCTGTCTTTCTTGTCACTTCCCTTGTGTCCCCCCTCCTTGTATTCTGTCTTGTCACTTCACCCCCCTCCTCCACCATCAGCAGCCTCCACCCCACCATCAGCAGCTTCCCCTCCACCATCAGCAGCCTCCCCCCACCATCAGCGTCCCCTCCACCATCAGCAGCCTCCCCTCCACCATCAGTGTCCCCTCCACCATCAGCCTCCCCCCTCCACCATCAGCAGCCTCCCCCCCGCCATCACCATCAGCCTCCCCTCCACCATAAGCAGCCTCCCCTCCACCATCAGCAGCTTCCTCTCCACCATCAGCAGCCTCCCCCCACCATCAGCATTCCTTCCACCATCAGCAGCCCCCCCCCCCCCACCATCAGCAGCCTCCCCTCCACCATCAGTGTCCCCTCCACCATCAGCAGCCTCCCCCCACCATCAGTGTCCCCTCCACCATCAGCAGCCTCCCCTCCACCATCAGTGTCCCCCCCACCATCAGCAGCCTCCCCCCCACCATCAGTGTCCCCCCCGCCATCAGCAGCCTCCCCCCACCATCAATGTCCCTCCCACCATCAGCAGCCTCCCCCCCACCATCAGCGTCCCCTCCACTATCAGTGTCCCCCCCACCATCAGCAGCCTCCCCCCACCATCAGCAGCCTCCCCCCCACCATCAGTGTCCCCCCCATCATCAAGTGTCCCCCCAACTGTCAGCAGCCTCCCCTCCACCATCAGTGTCCCCCCACCATCAGCAGCCTCCCCCCACCATCAGCAGCCTAACCCCTCCACCTGCTGCTCCAACTCACCCAAAGGCTGCCTGCCTGCTCTCTATCTCAGTCTCTGAGGCTCCACATGTAGCCGGCTACATGCATTTCCCCACCTCTCCCTCCACCTCCTCCTCCCTGAGCATCCTCCTCTCTCCTCCTCTCCCCTGTTTAGGGTTTCCAGGGCAATCAGCAGAGAGAGAGGACCAATCCAGGGCCCGGGACCAGGGGCAGCCTCCTTGTCATTGGCCCTCCTGGATCTTTCGAAGCTGGAGGACGTGAGGGAATTATCTTTGAGCTGGGAGGGGAGCCAGAGAACACCCCTGACAACCTGAGAGAGAGGAGAGGAGGGAGATGACAGGAGGGGGACAGACATGGGGGGAGAGGGAACTCTGACATATGGGGGGCTGCATCATGGGGGGGAGGGGGGAATAAGAGGCTTAGAAAAAAAAAAAGGCGGGGGTCAGCAAACAGCTGCTAATGGGAAGAGATGGGAAACAGATTATTACATAGGTGTGTGGGAGTGACGTCACTGATGGGGGGACACGAGCTAAGCTGCCTAGTGCTTCCCACTCCTGCCTTGCAGCACTGGGGTCTCTGGTTCACACTATAGAAAACAGGCTAGATGCGTTCCAGATGCGTTCTTGCATTACCTTAGATTGTATACCCTTGAGGGTTAGGGACTGATGTGAATGTACAATATTATATGTGTAAAGCGCTGCATAAATTAATGGCACTATATAAGTACCTGAAATAAATAAATAATGCACATTTTTGATGGTTTTGTGGCACATTCTGGAGTCTTTGATGCGTTTTTGACACATTCCCGTGCGTTTTTTATGCATTCCAGTTTATATTTCCCCTGCTCTCTTTTTCTTTAATTTAAGTAGGGGCATTCCAGTGCGTTTTTGGTGCATTTTGCTGCGTTCCAATGCGTTTTTGATGCCAGTACAGTTCTGTGCAGAAAAAAATGTTCTACTTTTTTTTTTCTGCACCCGGAACACACTAGAACTGTAAGCACTGATGTGAACTATGGCATTGACAACCATATAACCTACTTTCTGTGCGTTTTGGAAGCAGAAAATAAAAGCAACTGAAATGAATGTAGTGTGAACTGGCCCTGAATCCTGGTCAGGACTCTATATGCATGGAGTTTGCATGTTCTCCCTGTGCTCATGCAGGTTCCTCCTGAACACATGCTGGGTGGTTAGGCCTCATTCACACAGGCGATTAGGGCCGTCCTGTGAATTCCTGCAGCTGACATCAGCAGCCGGAATCTCCGGGGAGAAGGACTCTGTCTTACATGTTCACATACAAGGCTGCCAATTTAGGCCTCATTCACACAGGCGATTAGGGCTGTTCTATGAATTCCTGCAGCAAATTCAGAGTGTAAGCATAGCTGCGGTCACTCTGCCTCTGTAAACGTATGACAGGCTGATAGTGGCCGTGGTAAACGCACATGCCACTGTTAGGGACGGATGATCGCAACGGAGGCAAACATCAGCATCCGGGATCATCATGTGTATCCAAGCTGCCATAAGCTTGTCATTCATTTACATAGGCAGAGCGACCTCATCTAAATGTAAACACTGTCGGTAATCGCGGCATGTGCGTTTTCCCTAGGGTTACCACCTCATCCCTTTAAAACCGAACACTTATTAATTACACAGCTTCTGGGGCTGATTAAGGTGGTAATTAGAGTTACTCGATGCCTTATCTGCATTAAATTAGCCCCAGAACCTGTGTAATTAATACGTGTTCGGGTTTTAAAGGGATGAGGTGGCAACCTTAGTTTACCAGCAGACAGCCACAGACATATCCAGCCACCAGATTGTCATTTATTTACTCAGATAGAGCGGCCACAGCTAAGCACAGGCACCCGTGATTCCAGCGGCAGGAATCTACGGATCTCAGGCTAGCCTTGTGTGAATGAGGCCCCAATAGGCTCTTGTCTGTAAGATGTATATATTGTGAGATAGGGGCCTTAGATTGTAAGCTCCTTGAGGACAGGCACTGACATGAATGTACAGAGTATATAAAGCTGAATAAAAGTGAATAATAGCTATAAAGGGGTTAATATAGAGGTGGTTGGATTTATTTCAGAAGATAGGGGGCGATAGAGGGACAGAAAAGCGCACACTGAGCAATGACTGTGTGTGTGTTATGTTGCCAGGTTAATCCAGCAGATGGGTTATCACAGGAGATCTGTCAGTCAGGGTCAGTCACAGACCTGAAGTGCTTACATAGCTAATAAAGCCGCACAGATTGCTGCCAGACAGATTAGGAGTTGCAGCACGCATAGACAGTCAAGTGTCCTGTTCACAAGTCACACTGAATAATCTCTTCATACCGCTCTACACACTTATCAGCGCCATTAATTACTAATGGAACTGACTGATAGCGATAGTCTCACCAAATGTTGGCTCGCCAACAACTTTCTAATCAAGTTGGCACGGAGGCTTTTTGAGTTATAAAGAGTTCAATGGCAACGCAAACCTGTTTGTAAGGGAAGTATTTTCCTTCAAAGGGCTCATTCACACCCTGTACATTGAGTTAGGCCTCTTTCACATGGGCGTTCAGTATGTACAGTGGTGTATTTAGGTTTTGTACACAAAAATCGTCTGCCCCCACGGACACCGACCAGCACCAACCCTCCCCTCCCGTGGAGAGAGCCTGACATTGACCAACAAAATCCCTGTCCCCCACATGGGAGAGCCTTGCACTAATTGGAGAGAAAGACACTCATCTTCATCTCAGACATCCACGGGAATGAGAGTCGAGAGTCCGACTCTACATACACCATCAAGCAGCCTGCAGCCTCTCTCGGATCCCAACCTGGTTCCCATGGCGCACGTGTCCCTTCTTTCAACCCTTCTTCTGGGGGGAGGTGCTGTCCCCCTGAAATATGCCGCTCTAGGCAGGTGCCTTGTTTGTCTTGTGGTAACTACACCCCTGCGTAGGTATATATTTTTCTTCTGTATTTCTATGGACTAGCTGATGTAAACGGATGATCATCTGTTTACATCTGTTAATGTCCATATCCGATAACCACTTTCCCGCTGCCCTATAGCAGATATACTGCTACAGGGCGGCAGGGGTGCACAAAATCACGTACATATATATGATTTTGCATTTCCAGGTAGGGGGTGCGCATGAGCCGCGAGTGCGCATGAGCCGCGAGTGCCCTACCCACGCCATTCGCGGCCGCGGCTGTCAATCACCGGGTCCCGGCCAGTGATTACCCGCCAGCGCCTGGTGATTACCAAGCATCTCCGACGGGGAGGAGGACTGTTTTGTTTACTAACAGTCCTCCTCCCTGTCAGCTCATGCACACTGCTTTGGATGGCACAGCACAGCCATCCAAAGCAGTGTGCTTACAGTGAAGCACACTGACACGGCCCCCTATAAAAACACTCCCTGCACACAGTTAGCCCTTTGATCACCCCTCATGTTAACCCTTTCCTGCCCAGTGCCATTAGTACAGTGTCAGTGCTTTTTATTAGCACTGATCACTGTATTGGTGTCACTGGGGATGTCAGTTTCCCCCAGTGTTAGAATGTCCACCGCTGTCCCACAGTCCCGCTATAAGTTGCTGATTGCTGCCATTACTGGTGAAAAAAAAATTTCCAGTATCTATACTGCCATTTGTAAACACTATAAGTTTCACGTAAACCAATTAATTTACACGTATTGGGATTTTGTTTTAGAAAAGACTTGTCACAGAATACATTTTGGCCTAAATTTATGCCGAAATTTGATTTTTGAAATTTTTTTACTGGACATGTTTAATAGCAAAAAGTCAAAAATATTGTTTTTTTCTCAAAATTGTCGGGTTTTTTTTTTTTTATAGCACAAACAATAAAAAACGCACAGGTGATCAAATACCACAGAAAGAAAGTTCAATTTGTGGGAAAAAAAGGACATAAATTTAATTTGGGTGCAGCGTTGCATAACCGCACAATCGTCAGTTAAACTAATGCAGTGCCATAACGCAATAAATGGCCTGGTCAGGAAGGGGGGTAAATCCTAAGGAGGGCAAGTGGTTATCATCCATTTTTTTGAATGGAAGAAAACCCTATTTTTCTTCCTTAAAAAAAAAAGGAACGGCCAAAATACTGATGTAA